GATTTAAAGCTTGCCCCTTGGGGAGGAGGACATAGTACCAGGAGCGATTTTCTAAATATGTGATTTATAGAATCTAATTTGAAAGAAAATAGAGTACTTCTCGATCGGGTTTATAGTTTTGGATCGATTGAGATTTTTGCAACTTCTTGATACAAATCTAATGGCCTTCCAGTTCTATTTCTTGATTTAGAGAAAGAAATAAAATGATGAATAAGATCAAAACAAAATAAACACACAAATTAAAATGTTGTGAGAAAAGAGGGATCTTAAGAAATGATTTCAGCTATTTAGACCAAATATCCAATTAATCAAACATCTGCTATTAATTTTTCATTCAAATTTGAAGGAAAAAAAAAAGAAAAAGAAAAAAACTTTGAATGAACAAAATAATTCTGGATCTGGTAAAGCTAGCATATGCACAGAGCACAAAGAAATAATAAAGGAAAAAGTTATTCTGCGGGTCCCACTAGAGCATGAAAAATACCCATCCAAAAAGAGATGAGGGGACCAAGTGGGGAAGACTAAACGAGTGGTGGAAAGAACAAACAAACAAATGAAAGCTGTCCAAGAGCAAAACTGTAACATCACATGCTTCCAAACTCAACTCAGATCCATGGCATGCAAAACCCTTATCTCTCAACCTCCCCTTGAATACGGATTTGACAATTAGTTGTATACATTATGAACTAAACTGTTTATGATAGGCTTGCGCATCAAAACCGACGAGTAGTCATACACTTACAAAAGTACAAGGAAGGAAAATGAACACTTCGAAGTAGACATACAATAAAAATATGAATAAACGGGTTGTCATAGACATGCGATCGTAGACAACACACCTTGAACAAACATTATCATGACACTAATCCCGTTTACCAACCAAAACCACCACAAGGGAAAAAAAAAAATAGAACTCCATCAAACCATATGGTTAAAGAACATGAGAGCGAACAAGAAAGCAAGTACATTAGCAATGAGAGTAAGTTGGAGCCTTGATCCGCTGTCACTGTAGTCGGTGTTCATCCCGCCGACGCCCGGTGGTCCTAGACCGTTGCTACCAGTGCCGAAGCCATTCCCGCCCATGACACCGCCGGTAGGTGTTGTAGAACCAAATGGAGTGTTGGTTGTGGTGGTTGGAGTAAATCCAGTGCCCGGGTTGGTGGTGGTTGGAGTCCCAGATACTGGAATAGTCCCACTATTTACAGGGCTGCAACAATACATCACCAAAAATCAAATCAAACCCACTTCAGATGAGATGAGATAGAACACAGTTCTTCCCCAACAAACCTTCCTCCCTCCACATGTGAACCCCTCTCTCCAAAAATCATGGTCGGCCTAAGCTCAAATCTCAATGATATCCCATCTCGAGGATGTAACATAAATCAGACCAACATTATGAAAACTCCATTTTCAACCTCCCACTATCTTTTGAAAAATAAATGTATCAGTAAGTTCGGTTAAAGGCAACCACGGAATCTATTATGGATTTATGACCATATTCTCCATAGAGCCCTTTTATCTCTTCTTTCTCTATTCTCGAGTTATGGAAGAAGGAATCGAGAAGAAAGTATTAGCAACAACAAGTTCATATCAATCTAAGGAAAGAAGCCAGAAAAAATGGTCGTGAAACTACATTATAGTCAATTGACAAGAAGAGCATCTATGATTACAACACAATGGGATGATGATGGCTAATCTAATGGCCAAAAGCATCTTTTCCAACAGTATCTATGATTATCAAAAGCTAACTTTGAATTTAGTTTTTGAATCTTTAATTAACAAGATGCTCTACTTCTTTTCAAGTAAAAAGCTTCTCTGTTTGTTCAAATGAAAACTAAATCATAAAATAAAGCAGAAGCATACCTAGCGCTAGAAGGATAAACGCAGCCTGAAATGCCTGAAAAGATACCAAGAAAGAAAGAGATATTCATAAGCATGAAGTCATAATTTCATTTAGTAGCTGAAATAGACGGCTAAGGGCCTTTGAAATGAGTATCTGAGTTAATTCCGATGTGGGTTTGTTTCCATTTTTCTTCTCACCAAGTTAATCAGTTCTTACTTAGAAAAAAATTAGAGAAAAACATGAGAATGTAGAGAGCGAAGTCTTACTGGGGTTAGTAGTAGTGACCATTGCTGTGCCAGAAAAATCACAGGAACCTGGAGCTTGGCCCTTCCTTTGGAAATAGCTATTAGCAGCATAGGAACAATGGGCCTCGACAGTGTTGGGAAGGAAACAGCCACCATTTTGATGAATAGGGACACAGTCAGCCCCAGCTCCACAAGCATAGTCCAGTGTCTTCTGAAGAGCTGCATCGCCCAATCCGCTCTTGCAAACACACCATGTTGCACCTACAAGTTCAATAAAACCAGCATTTTAAGGGACAGCCAGAAGAAAACCAACGAAACACAACGAGATCTGGACATCTAAAGAAACTTCAAAGGTACTGGAAACTCACAGACCTCTTGAACCACTTAGCCACCCAAAAGGAACAACAAATGGTGAATTATTGTTACATTTCAGTAAAGAGGGTTAAATGCACATTGAGAAAAGCATGGTTCACAAGAGAAATGCTCATGAGAAGTCAAACTAAAAAAGAGATACCAGAATATGCGTTTGATCTACAAAACAGAAGTAAAGAATGCATAAAAAATGCAGGGAGCTTACGTGAATGGCCAGTCATGGCGAGAATAAGCAGCCCAATAGCTAAAACAGGCATCCCACAAGACATGATTACAAAGCTCAGAGATGGTGGGCAGAAGAAAGTTGTCACTACCACACACACACACACACAGAAAGAGAGAGCTATGGAGAGAAAGGGAGAGAATGTAAAAAACCCTGAAGTGGAGGGTATGTTCTATACAAAATAAAGGGAGTGGGTTTTCAGAGGGTAAATGGCATCAATTAGAGTGGCCCACTTTTGGGTTTTCTAGCCACTGCTCTTTCTGCTCCTTGTTAACCAGTACGCGCGTGACCCACAAATAACTTCCCGAAACTCAGCATTCTGTTATCCCATATTTAACTAACAGAAGCGTTTTAAAGTCTTCAGAAAAAATTCGAAAGAAAAATCGGACAATATGTGAATCTGAAGCGTTACAAATGGTTTAAGAGCGACGATGTGCCAGCCTTCTCTTCTTCGAAGGGGGTAGACACGAGGCGGTGTGCCAGTAAAGACGCTAGCCCCAAAAGAGATGGATTTTGTGTGGTCCCACTTTGATTGAAGAAAGGAACAAGTGTACGCTGGGACGCTGAATCTCGAAGGAGTGGATTGTGATGTTCCACGTTGATTGGAGAACAGAACAAAACATCATTTATTTATAAGGGTGTAGAAACTCCCTAGGCTATAGGCTAGAGGGGAAGGGACAATATCTGCTAGGTGGATATGGGGGTTTATTCTTATAGTGAAACTAAAAATGTATGGCCGGCAACCTTGAACGGATCGTTGGAAGACGCCGGCGGGAAAAACTAATGCTGGGCCGAGGATGAGCAACCAAGGGCTGGGCCCGACGGAGGGTCAGTCCAGGAGAGGTTGATTCCTTCCTTCTTTTCTTTGATAAAGGTAAACTCGAACTCTAAGCAGCTTTCTTTCCTTTTCTTCTTGCACTGTACAAGGATAGGATAGTCTCAAAGGTTGATTGAGACATGTACACCTACGAATTGAATATAGATCCATTCACCGAATCATTGATAAAGCAATTCGACTTGGCGAGAAAAACAATTTTCAATAACTTGTTGATCCCTATCCGTCTCTTCCCCAGATTTCCAAATTTATCCTTTTTTAATTTCTTGGCTTAGTGTGAGGCCACGTCCATGTTCAACTTACTGGGCAAAAGCCCGTTCGGCAAGGCCCAATGAAACGAATGGACTAGCGTTGCAGTTAACATCTGGACCATTCTCAGGCCCAAACTCATACCCACGCAGATCCTCCGCCCAGCCCAAAACGGAACCACCACCAAGTTATTTCCCTTTCACATCGACGTGGGCCTTCTCGCCGCCGGGGTGGAACCTATCATCACTTTGCTCTACTTGAACGAAACGAAACGATAATTAATGATTAGGTCAAAACTCACGCAAGCATGCACATAAATGGACGGCACAGATCTTCCGGAGTAACCGCCACCGTGGACCATACGGCGCAAAAACCATGTCCTGATGATTATAAGCTAATATTTAGCCCCGGCGTTCGGCGGCCGGCTGAGGAAATTAGTGTCTCGAATCTTCAAGAATTGCTCTGCTATTGCCGCCGATGCCGCCACAACGACGTCGACAAAGCCGAATCAGAGGTAAAGCAGAGGTCCGTACTCTCCGGACATGGTGGCGAGGTGGGAGTGGAGAGGCGCTCCGCCGATTTGCGGTAAGTTTCCGACTATCGGCCATGGTTTTGAGCCCGGCGGGAGGGGGAGAGATCGAGAATTTCGTTGGTGGAATAAAAGGCGGTAGAGGAGGAGGACGACGACGGTGGCCAAGGTTATGGCGGCAGAGAAGAAGAGTGAAATTTCGTCCATCGCAAGTTTTAGCTATTAGTACAGCCAGTTGATGCTTAAATATGGCTATGAAATTGATGGTTTGGGGGAGGGGAGGGGGGTAAATTTGTAATTTCATGAATTGGTGTATATTAAAATGTTATTAAATTTATTTTTTGACGATTTTCAAAATAAAATTTATTATTTTTATTTTTTTTTCTTGTTTATTAATCTCCAAATTATGTTATGTTGAGTTATCTCATAGTAGTTAACTCTGATAACGTAATATGAAGGTTACAATACAGCATAGAGTACGTGCTTATCTCCTCATACAATGATATAGAAATATTTTTTTAAGTACTAAATAATAAAATGTGCCAATAAATTTTCTCCATTATTTTAAAATATTTTATATTTATAAAAGTTCTAATATTATATTTAACATATATCAATATATATAGATATTTTTTATATAATGGAATTTTTTTTAATTATAATTTAATATTTTATTTTAAGCTTAGTAGTTGCAAGAACGGAGATAAGAAGTCACGCATCGAAGGCCATCATTGATAAACTCCAGGCGATAATCTGGGCCGAGGATGCGCAACCAAGGGCTGGGCCCGACGCAGAGTCAGTCCAAAGGCCTCGTCCATGTTCAACTCACCGGGCGAAAGCCCGCTAGGTAAGGCCCAATCAAACGAATGGACCAGCGAGGCAGTTAACATCTGGACCATTCTCAGGCCCATACTCATCCCAACGCAGATCCTCCGTCCAGCCCCAAACGGAATCACCCCGAAGTCATTTCCCTTCACATCGACGTGGGCCTTCTCGCCACCGGGGAGGAACCTATCGGGCCTAAACTCGAGTGGGCTGGTCCATTCTTTTGGGTCACGGCTGATGGCCCATACGTCCACCAACAGAGTGGAGCCTTTAGGGATATGGTAGCCGCTGATTTCGCAGCTCTCGGCAGCCATGCGGGGGAGGGAGAGCGGCGTTGGTGGGTGGAGCCGGAATGTTTCCTTCACCACCGCTTGGAGATAGCCGAGCTTCGGCAGGTCTAGATCGGAAACTACCCGATCACGGCCCACTACAGAGTCCAGTTCTTGTTGGGCCTGGTACATCATCTTTGGGTGTCTGATGAGCTCCGCCAAGGCCCATTCGACTGTGCTTGCTGACGTGTCGGTTCCAGCTGTGAACATATTCTGCATGAAAATGAAACGCAAATGACGTAACTATCTGTTCCTTCCCTTTTAGTCAACAAAATTGAAGGGTAGAAAAGGAAAAGAATTTTAGAGATTTTTCTTAAAAAATAATACTAAATTTAAATAGAAATGAAAACCAATAGCAAAGCTTTGATCTCAGTGTCATTGAGCTTCTCGTTTTCATCTTTAGCGCGATCCCTCGTGGACAGAAGCGTGCTCAGCAAGTCTTGGTGCTCACCGCCGCCGCCGGTGGCCAATAAATTTCGGTGCTCCTCCAGGATCTTGGACATTAAATCATCGAACCATTTGTGGACCTTTTTCATCTCTCCAGCCACGCCCAGCAAATCAAGCCACTCAAGCCACGAGAAAAAGTCGCCGGGGTTGAACTTTCCGGACAGAATCATGACTTGCTCTACCATCGCCTTAAACTGGTCTGACATTGGATCGCCACCGCCACTTCCATCGCCGAAAACACGTCGGCCGATCATCGTCCGCCCGAGGGCATTGGCTGTGCACACGGTGAGCAAACTCCCCAAGGTGGCCGGTGCCTCTCCGGACCTTGCAAGGGCCTGTACCAGCACCCCCACCTCCTCCTGTACTTGCGTAAATAATTCAAGTATTAGAGGCAAGTTTAGAGTCTCTTTACAATAAGTTAAAAGTACTTAGATTAAAGTCCTAAGTCGCTAAAGTCAGGTAATTTAAAAATAATGGTGTGTTTATAAAGGATCACGTGTGACTTTCTGGAAAAATCTAAAGTAAAGCCATTAAAATTTATGCTCAAGTGAATAATACTACATCATTGTTCAAAGTCGTGTTCATGTTATTAATTATTCATTTATTTTTACAACTTCAACCAAACCTAGCCTCAAAGATACAATAAGAATAATTGAGGAATAATAACCGGTAATTAAAACCGAGTAATAAATGATCTTCCAACTGGTGTGATAAATCTTCCATTGAACCTTAAATCAATTAAAACAAGAAATTGGTCCCACCATGTAAGACGTACAACAACCATTCGACTTCGAAGAATTGAACAAATTCCTACCTCTCATTTTACCTGTCAAGGTTTCCAAACACCATCCCGAAAACAATTTAGCCTTTTTATTTGTTTCTAATTATGATTATGAATTTTAGAGCTTATTTTATCAGATTCTTACTTCCACCTTTCAAATGATTTATAGGAAAAATTGGTAAAGATTATATTAATAAAAAGAAAATTTTACATTTTTCATCTAAAAGGATATTATTGAGACAAAATTTTAATATATTCAAACACAAAATACTCAGGTAATTTTGAATAATTTTAAAAGATCTAAGTATTATTAATTTTTTTAAATTTAAGAATATTATTAAACCAAAATTCAGTGTTTTCAATAATTTAGTCTTATCTTAATTTTTTTTTTAAAAAAAAACATTATTATTATTATTATTTTGTGGTTAAAAATAGATAACAAAACAAATATATATAATTACTTCTGTGAGTCAGCAGTTTTTATGGCTAACAATGCAAAATTGGTAAGATTTATTTGGCGTTTTAAAGCGTAGGGCATTGACGACGAACGTGACAGTTAGTAAAGAAACATTTTAAACCTCTTTAAGAAAAGTTGTACGGAAACCATCCTTGCTTGGATCATCGTCATTACTTTTTTCCCCCCAAAAGGAAACGCAATTTAATGATTGATCGGGAAAATAATTCGGTCAAAACTCAGGCATGCATGAACATAAATGATGAGAAGAAGAAACCGACGAACCTCGCGTACACGCCGATGATCCTCTAGGGCTTTTGAGGAGAACAGATGGACGGCACTGATCTTCCGGAGTAACCGCCACCGTGGACCATACGGTGCAAAAACCATGTCCTGATAATTATAAGCTATATATTTAGCGCCGGCGTTCGGCGGCCGGCTGAGGAAATTAGTGTCTCGAATCTTCAAGAATTGCTCTGCTATTGCTGCCGATGCCGCGACAACGACATCGACAGAGCCAAATCGGAGGTACATCAGAGGTCCGTACTCTCCGGACATGTCGGCGAGGAGGGAGTGGAGAGGCGCTCCGCCAATTTGCGGTAAGTTTCCGACTATAGGCCATGGTTTCGGGCCCGGCGGGAGAGGGAGAGATCGGGAATTTCGTTGGTGGAATAAAAGGCGGTAGAGGAGGACGACGGAGGCCAAGGTTATGGCGGCAGAGAAGAAGAGGGAGATTTCGTCCATGATATTTTTAATGGTATTGGTCTGGGCAGCTGGCGGATTTCACGGATCAAAGAGACGAGGAAGGCGATGCTTAAATGGGGCTTTGAATTGAATGGTTCGGGGGTAAATTTGTAATTTGAGCTATGAAGTAGTTACAAAGAGAGCCAGATAAGAGTCCACGATATATTTAACCCGTTAAAAGAAACGTATTTACAGTCTACCGACAAGAAAGTTCTAACGAACGTAAAAGCCGACAAAATTAAAAGCTGGCAAACCACGTTCATCTTTCTATGCATTCTTAATTGAAAAAAATAAGAGATCGAACCGAATAGCTCGGTGCTACACCAATAAAAACATGGTTGGTAGACGGCAACGTAGTCTGCGCATAACCATGAAAATGCACACCCCATAGTCAAATCATTCTGAACCGGGCAAACAGTATTAAGAGGGTCCAAGCATAGGGGCAAGGGAATGGATGCAACACATACTACGGCTAATTAAGTGCCTTCGAACACACGGAGTGCACTGGTGCAACTATATGGTTCTTGATGATTTCTGGAACCAATGTTAACTAAATTTTTGGCTAAAGAGAATCTTCAAATTTCTCCTTGTATGAGTTGGTCATTTTGGAGACAGGAAGAATGAGTGTGGGCTATACCACACAACTTCCTCTAGCACACAAAATGTGTGACTTAGGGTTTAGATATTTACGTGCAAAGTTGCAACTGAAAACTCCTTGGTCATATATCATACTAAATCACCATTAGACCAAAAAATTTAAGTGGATATGGCAATCTATGCAAAATTGAATCTCTAATTGTACACCCAAGGATTACCTAAGCTACGCTAAAGAGTATGAAATTTAAAGTAAGACCTAGATATCAAATTACCTGCAGCTTGGACAATTTCAAGCCGGCTTTGTTTCATATATCGAGCATGTCGCTGAGAGAACTCAATTCCATAGAAGGCATACACATAACCGACAGTAAAAACTCCACAAAAGCAAGACCTAGAAATCAAATTAAGCCAGAGCAATTCAAGAGTTCGCAAATACTTTTGAACTAGAAAGGCATTGGCAATGAAAGTAGCATAAAATCGCTCACTTGAAGAAGAACAAGCCTATTTCTGTTTGAATGAAGAAAATGTCGACCATTGCTTCCGATTGTTCCCTTTCACTGACGGCATCCATAGCCGTATTACAGACAGAATTAGAGGCGACAGACTTGGTGTCGTGATGCTTCCAGATTTCAAAGCAGTTCCTTTAGAAGAAGGAGGCATCGAGAAATGCTGAGCATCCATGTCGTTCAGAGTTTTTTCCCATCGTCGTGACGATCAGAGGGGCGGACGGTGGAAGAAAACAGAGTGCCGAAACTTTGGAGAGAAGAAAATAGAGAGCCGAACGGTTAGGGTTCGGATTCCCGCGCTTTTGATTGAATTGGGAACCGAACCAATATTTATATTCCACATCCTGAAACCCGACCCGAATTTTAGACCCGATCCAATCCGCGTATAGTTTTGACTTCTGAATTTTAGATTTATCACAGCAATCACATCGACACTTGAGAACGAGTCTAGAGATGTCGACACAAGCGAACGATCCACGGCAGCCGTCGGCGGCGAAGCCTTTTGTTTCTCCGGCTGTGAACCCGCAAGATCTTCCCGTCGATTATTCCGGTTTCATCGCCGTAGTTTTTGGCATCGCTGGCGTCATGTTCAGGGTATGCCTGTTTCTTCCCGAGCACTGATACGATAACTATGGGGATCTTACATTTTACTGATGCGATATGCTTGTTTTTCGTTAAATTTGAGCAGTACAAGCTTAGCTCTTGGCTAGCTATCATATTCTGCGCTCAATCGCTTGCGAATATGAGGAACATGGAGAACGATCTCAAGCAGATTTCCATGGCTATGATGTGAGTTTTCTTCCCCTTCCAATCTCTATTTCTTTATTCGTTCATTCGAAGGTTTCTGATGAGTTTTGTAGCATGCACGCGATTTGTTTGATTGTTAATTATTATGCTTATTTCCTGAAAATTCGATTTTGCTGGAACGGAGATGAAATGCACTTGGGATCGGAATTGCATCAGTTTAATGGCATTAATTGGTAATTTTGGGTTTGTCCAAAATCTGAACAATCTAAGTTTCGTTTTTTAGGCTGACTTTTACGTTGTCATGTAGATGCAACAATCGATGTTTCTTAGCTAGGTAATCGAGCTAATTTAATTCTTAAGGGTTCAATCATGCTTGATTGCAAATTAAGCTGCCTACTGCGTTGGGGTTTATGATCTTTTCGATAATCTTTACATGTTCATACCATTGATTCGTGTACACATTTCAATCATTCTATCAACGTATAAGTTACTAAAATGATTGTGAAAAAAGTGTCCGCAAATGACTATGGAGATATAATCATTAAGAAAATACCTTACGAAGAAAACTTGTAAAGACCAAATATACTCCTGCGACCTCTTCCATCTTTTGTGAAGGGGCCATGGAAGTACATAAAAAAACAATAAAACAATAAAACCTCATCACCAATCAAATTCGCCATAGGATGGAGGATGGAGGAAGCACATCTTCTGGATCGGCCCTTGGATTGGAAACTCCAGGCTAGCCTTGCGGTATCTAATTCTAGCAAAACGGCTCCGATCAAAGAAACATGGAATAATGCCAGCAATTTCTAGGATCCGAAACTTGGTAGGAACCTAAAGGATAACGAAACTACAAAAATGGGTTGAATTAAGCCTTGCCCTCGCCCCAATTATGTTGCTTAAAAATTAACATGGCTTCCTAGCACTGACAGAGACTTCTCCACAATTTTTTTTTTTATCATAGACATAGGGAAAAGTAAAAGTCATAAGCCCCATGCTAACTGAGATAATATGGAAAGGAAATCAGCCTAAAAAGATGAAGCTTTTCCTCTAGTGAAATAGCATATGAAGCCGAAAATCTACAAAAAAAAAAAAAAAAAAAAAAAAAAAAAAAAAAAAAAAAAAAAAAAAAA